AGAAGCTGGATAAAGGTTTACAAAAATAAATAAATAAAATCTTTATCTCGCTTTCTTGGAACATTCTACAAAAATTTTTCCTTTGAAAATACAAAATAAACAATATTTCATCTTTACAAAAAAAGGACCCATAAACTTAAAGCATAGTATTATATAATTTTAAGCAGCATTTTGAAATTTAAATAAATACAATTTAAGTACAGAATTGCACGAGTTTCGTGCTACATTTTTCTATAGAAAAAAGTAAAATTACAGGCCATTTTTTACCGCAAAGTAATGTTATCAAAGGACAAGGCACGCAAATAACGAAAAGAGAACATTCACACTCGAAAAATGTACATGTTTCCGACAGAATTTAATACAGTATAACCTCTAATCCACTGCCAAAAACGTTGAGAAGTGGCAATTTTCCAAGATGAACAATAAAAAGTCATCATGTTAAAAGAAAATCGCAACGATAAGAATAACATTTTAAGCGTAACTTCCATCCAATCGATGTTGGATACTTTCCTACAAAGGAATTTAAATATTTTTACACATTTATTCAATTATTTAAAGTTTCGAATTTGTCGCTTATCGATTCAAATTTAAATTTTGCTGCATGCTGTGTTTTAACCAATCAGATTCAAAATTAAAATTAGCCTATAATCGTTACCGATTTAAATTCGAATTTATCACATGATCAATTTTAACCAATAAAAGAGCAATTTCGATTTATTTAAATTATAGCTTATAGAAGTTGAAATTTTATCGAAAGCAAAGTTTAGATGTGTGTTTAAATTCATAAATTACTTAAAAATTATGTCTCAGGACGTAAGCTTGGGAATTGATATATTTTTTTGCATTTTTTTGGGGGGTAGGTTGGGGGAATATGACATCGGAAAACCCTGCACCACATGTTCTACGAGGTAAAGGAGCTATGTTAAGACAAGTTAATCTTGTGATCGAAGAGGATAGCCTTTTTTGAAATTCCATTCGTTAAAAGACTTTTTCGTGTCACACGGGATACTTAGGCATGTTTTTTTGATTGGGGTTAAGTAAACATATTAAAGTTTCTGCTTGATAAATCTCTCTCCTTCTCTCGCTCTTCGAATGACATTTTCTGGTTCAGGTTACTTTCTTTACTGAGAAATGAAGAATACCTGCTTCCCGGAAATACGAAACTTTTATTGTTTTGAACCAGACAGGTCGGACAAAAGGCCGTATCATATTAGGCTCTATTATGAAAGGGAGCGTCCCTTTTATTTTTAATTTGAATGCAGTAACTGTAATTAATTAAAGCTTAAATTCGTATTTAGGTCTAGCTTTGCACCATTAAGCAATTTATATTTTAATTTAACTGTCCAATATTATTAACGAATAAGATTCGAAGATATAAATTTTACTCAATCTAAAAATTTTACTGCATTTAAATCTGTCACGTGATTAATGTTGACCAATCGTATTCAAATTTTTCAATTATTTAAACTTTGACTGGTAATATTTATTTCAAAATTAACCGAAAGAAACGTTTAGTTACAAGTTTTAATTAATAAATTCTTTAAAAGTTATTAATATGCTATAATGAAGAGTATAAGCTTAATTTTATGATTGAATTCGTCAAACGTCTTAACTTCAGCTGCCAGAGGTCGGGCTCATGTTTCTTAACAGTAATACTGCTATATGCTAAGAAAAATTTTTTTCGCATGTTTATTTTAAAGGAATTTAAACTAGGAGTTATAAATTAATGTTTCTTTTTAAATATTTAACAATAAATCTTTTTAAAATAGTTGTTAAACGCTTGACCCGCCTCTATCAAATGATCGGTTATAATTTATAAATAAAAATATCCAATTACTGTATCAGACACTATTAGTTTATTTTTAATGTTACTATAAATGTGTCATCAAATACTCAAGTATTGGGTTAATTGTTTCTACAAAATAATAAAATTAAACTGACGGCAAAACTGGAGCAATTAAATTATCGTCTTTGAAAATGACGTCAGAGTCACGTGAGAAGCCCGTGGGGAAAATTTAAAATAACATTTTAATTTGGACATCGCCGATCAAATCTCTCATTTATAACATCTAAATTAACATTCTTTAATATTATTCTGCCAAATAATTGAGGTTATCCACCTCCACTTTATCTTCTAAAAAAGCATACGTAACAGTTAAATATAGATAATGTGACGAAAACTAGGAGTCTCGCGCGTAATTTTAGATAGGTTTTTTTTTTTCCTACGTTATTGTATTTTAATTACTTTTCGAGAACGTACTAGGATTTTTTGACAATTTACATAACTGTTTTAAGAAAAAAATTTATTTTTTCACTCTAGTGTAACCTGATCTCTAATTGGTAAAAATTTACTTCGATGACGCTAGAATGACGTCAAATGACGTTTTAAAAACGCGTCTCCTATCTGCTTTCTTCCTAAATCATTCGCGATCGAAAAATGAAAACATCAGCCCACATGCAAGTATTTTACTGATATTTTCTAGACTTTTTATAAGTTGCAATATTTAATTCGCCTTTTACATTCGTAAATTCGAAAAAATCGAACTTAACAAAAGTTCGTCTGCTACTGTAATATCACGTGATCGATTGACTATCACGTGATAAATCGAATGTTAAATTTAGTTTTTCTATATTAAATATGAATAGCTCTTAAAGATTTTTAAACTTCAAATCGAGTAAAATATTCGAATTTTATCTACATTTTAAGAAGATAATTTGTATTATCGCGCGAATTTTAAATGATCGTCTGCTTCTGTTTAGCGTAATATGAACGTGAAGTTGCCAGCCAATCACAATCTTCCAACTTTTTTCAAATTTAAAACCACGTGACAAATATATAATTATCCGTGACGCAAACGTTAGCAAGTCTTTTATGCTTTGAAATTCGATCATGTGACAATAATAAAAATACAGGTGACGTTAAATAATAATTATTTAAAAATTTAAGGTGGTGTTATTACTCGAAATTATAATTTTTAATTAAATTTATTTCTACCAGCTTTAAAGACCTCTTAGGGTATATATATATATTAAACTTGTTTAAAACTTCTGTGTTTAAATAGACTTTATATTATTAGTTGGCGATTATTAATTTATAATAAAACGTAAAATATAGGTTTGAAATAATTCACGTGGCTCTCATATAAATTCTTGGCATATTTTCTTCAATATTAAAACTGATTATCCTCTTCTTGCTCTCGCATAATTGGCATAAACCAACCTTTTCCACTGTAGTCACATGACATTAGATCACGTTGCAGCGGTCACTTTTCAAGTGAGAAAAGGGATTCTTAAGATACTTTTCGGTAATATTACAACACCATCCGTTCATTCCTGTGTATACATTTTGACCTAAAAGTGAATTCTTCTAGCGGAAGAATAGGATAATTTAACTAGAAACTCGGAGAAACAGAGCCCATTGTCTAACTTCTACTGATCAGATGACTCACATGTAGCCGGACATCATTTGAACGTCCTTATACATTCGGTACACTCTCAGTTGGATATCTGTCTCTTATGTAAGTCGATGGAGTGTATTCTATGGATAATGCTAGTCGGGATTATACAAAGAACGATTCTTCCCTCCCAAGTAAAAATCATTATGCAGAAGTTGTCTACGCTCCTACTTAAAAAAATGACCAAAGTACATCGTAAACGTCTACCTTATCAGATAAAAAGAAATCACGTGACATAATATGCCAGAAATCAAGCGTTTACACAGGAATAAAGCTCGGTCCTTCACACCTGTTACAGGTAGAGTGAGCAGAAAGCGGAGAAATCCCTGGACAAGGTTGATAGCACAATGCACAAAGGGGGGACAGGCTGCACGAAAAGGAAATTCCTGGACTATAGCCAGTAGCCTACAATAGAAGGTCAAAGTTTATAAAAAAAAATATATATATATATTTCCTATTAATATATATATGTTATATAACATATATCCACAAACACAGATATACACTCATATATATATATATAGCCTATATATCCTATAATGTAGTGAAAACGTATAATTCTAAAAATGACATCTCTTCATGTCAACGTCCTTAAAATTCAATAAAGGCAAAAGTCGATAAACTACCAAGTAGAGATTTCCAATCTTTTGCTCACGTGGGTGGTCTCTAATCCTTTTTCCGACACTTCACCAACTTTCATTTTTTTTATTTTTTTACGTCTAGAAATAGAAATGTCTGACTGTTTTCGAGAATTTCTTTCTTTAGAGAAAATGCAATCGATCTTCAGTCAGAGATTTGTATAAGGATACACTCGACTGACATATCGGTTTTTGATCTTTTACAAAATACTATGCAACAAAAATTTTATTACCGATGCTAGTTTACCTATATTATTCACTTCAGTTTCACCAACACCTAATATATTATTCACCAATAATTCATAAATGAAACAATTTACGCATACCCCCGCATTAAAAAGTGGCTCATTCCACTTAGTTTAAAGTCTCGTTTGATTATATACCTACTTCAAAAATTACATAATCGGTTATGTGGGTCAAAAAAGAAAAACCTCTAACCGACGTAACCAAGCAATTGGCACATCCAAATATAGGTATAAACATCATTGGCACATGACCTTATATTCAATAAAATTGATGATTTCACCAAGTTGACCAATTTTCCTCTTCCCACTAGTGTGTGTGGGTCAAACTATATCCCTAGATGACATCCCTAGCAAAGCCTTAGGGTGAGGCACGCCCACAGAAATTAACCCCCACAAAGTATTCTTCTCAAACCAGTTCTACTAAGAATTATTTCAGATTCATTTTTGTCTCTTCCTATTAAATCTGTTAACTTTTTCTACCATTAGCAATACATACCATTGCTCGATTATATATTAATATTCGTTAGCATATTATTATTTTAAAACTACTTCATAAGCTAAAAATAAGTTTACACATACTGTATATAAGAAAAATTTTCTGAATATCCTTAAAATTTGTGGCTTAAAGTTACGAACCTCTAAGGTAAACACGAGTCACTTACACTTGTTCTGAAACTTCATTAGTTGCGGGTTCTAATATTTGATGTTCTGCAACTGAATATCCGAAATAGGATCCTCTGTCTCCTTGTTTTATCACAGGTAGCCTTGGTTCTAAGTTAAATGTGCACACCTGGGCAGAAAGCCATATAGTCATCACAGCCAGACATTCAGTCACCCTTCCTAAGACCGCCATACCTCTCCACACACTCGCGCACCAACAAGCACTTTCTACTAAAACTTGTCTGGCCTCCCGTCTCGCCTGCACTTCACTACTTACTCAACCTGGCGGACGAATAGCAAACTAATGCAGCTACTACTTCGATATCTCTGATGCTTGGATGCAAGTTTAACGATCGCGAGACACGGCATACCACTGGTTAGCTATACATCCTCGACTTTAATAGCAATAACGAAACCTGAGTACTTTTATACTTCGGTTTTTGACCGGGACTACTTTTACTACATCTCAACTTTCTTTTTAAGTTGCGAGGAGGTTACAGAAAACATTCGCGGTATTCCTTAGTCTTTTTTATTAAAGGAATGCAGAAAGATTAAAGATAAAATTCTATTCAAACAGGTGTCGATTTAAATTTAAGTTTTTTTTTCTCTTTTTTTTAACAGCTCGAAACTTTCGTCAATTAAACGAAGCCGATGTAAATGCTAAGTACACTGTACTGTTTTGCAAATCTATACTTTAAACTAAGCAGGATGCCGAATTTCAAAGTGGCAGGTGAGTTAACGAGCAAAGTTACAACCTAATCAAGAAACGTGCATATAGAATAAGTCAATAAAATATATTTTTTTCAGATTTACTCTTTATCCATTCAATCAGTGATTATTGGGTGCAATCCCCGGTCTAATTAATTATGGATATGGCAGATTAATGTATTTTTTCCCTACCAAGCAATTTTCTCCATCTAATAAATACGGCTGCAAATGATTAAAGTAAGTGCTTCTTACGTTTCTCTCCCTGTAGACACGCATAATTAAAACTCTTTTTTTATATATATCGTTTCACATATCTTGATTTACACTTTGTCTAGTTCGTAAATCTGATGCTTAATTGCATTACTGTATTCATATATTCCTCTTGTAAACTGAGATAAACTGCCATATCAGATTCAACAGGTTGTTTAGAGGCAATGTTCGTACACATGTCTGTATATAATATTCGATATTCCACATCTGACTTCATAAATTTAACTTATAAAATATACTACAACACTTTAAAGCGCTACGACTACCAATATCACACTATATAAATATAATGTTATCATTAAAGTAATAAAACAATAAGCTCCATCTAGTGATATTAATATGAATTATTCATGTAGATAAAATATTCACCACACCATCACTCTAGAGACATTCGTAGATTGCATATCAGAAATTCTGTTTGAATATTTTATATCCAGCATACCGATATTATTTTTTTCTGTATTGTTAAAACCAGTAGCTGCAATATTCTTAAGAAAATTCTTTGCACGAGTGCGTATTAAATATCAATATGACATCAACGAAGATTGTATATTATGATCATATTAGGACTCTGATAAGCAACGTCACACTCACTTACGTCACAGCATAATATGTGACACGAAGGGTACGGTTTTCTATATACAACAACACGAGTAACTAGATAAGTTTTCTTAGTATTAATCTGTCAATGTCTAGATGAATTAACAGATGTCGATAAATTTTTACTTCTAAATAATATCTCACGGCCATTTCGTATTGTTTACTAACCTTAGGCCACAATGTACGAATTAAATGATATAATTTACTAAACATCACATATATACATTAAAATTAATTTATAAACTTATAAAAATGAAATTTAATTCGGTCAAATGATAATCTGCATATTAAGCAGGACATAAACTGCTTATTAAATTTAATTTTAATAATAGATGTAATTACTGTCTTGTGCATCCATCTAAATAACCTACTTTTCTTTCCTTCAAGGAAATGGATTTTAATTAATAGATTTTAATATATTCTATTCGTTTTTTCAAATGTTTTTTCTTAGTTTTTATTATAAAATTTAGGGTTTAATATAAAATACAGTATATACAGTAATATACAGGGCCATCGGGAGGGATAGGTAGGGATTTTTCTTCGGGCTTTGGTAAAGCATAAAGGCTCGTAGTGATTCCTATTTTTATAAATTAGTGTTATTTTTATTAATAACTAATAAAATCTTTAAAACTGCATTCTATTAATAAAGAAACATTCTACATAGTTCCTTTGTTCAAAACACATGGAAAAAGGGGGCTCGAGGTAGAAAGGGGTCCGCTCTATCCCCAGGCTCCATACAAGTTTTCGTGGTTCTGGTTATATGATTTATATAATTAAAACTGCTTGAATTTGTTTAATGGGACTTGGGGAAATGCACATTTACTTTACAGAAGGGCTTTATTAACACAGAAAATATAACCGAAACAATTGTTATGATGTTCTGTTTAATGATAACTGATTACGAGTTAGGCATTATTATCTTTTAACAGCATATATAAAATTTTATGGACTTTTTAAAAATAATTATACACTTACGATAGGACCGTGCGTAGGATTTTTAAGTGTGTTTTAAAAACAAAATATTATTTTTTCATAACGTAGTTCATTAATTTTTAGATAGGCCTATATACCATACAGTATACACAATACGAACTGAACGGGTAAAAAAAATAAATATTACAGTATATACAATACTGTTTTATTAACACACTAACATGTTTCTGCTTGAATTGGCAAATGGAGGGAAATTAAATCTCCAAAACCCCTGCGTGCCGACCTTGACCTACAAATTTCATAGTAAACTATAATTTTCGGATAATTGAATTAAACAATATTTGTATAGATTATTTAATAAAAAAAGACTATTTAACAAAAATAAAAAAATAAGGATTATAGAAAACATAAACTTAGTTTTTTAGTTATAAAATAGTCCTGTTCGTACAGCGATAAATAAAAATGTTTAAAGTTGTTTTGACATTTATTGAACTCCAGGATTACACAATGATCTACGTTAATAACAGATGCTATTACCCGTAAATTAGCTTGTAACTGTTGTTTTTAACAGTTGTGGGTTTTCTAATTATTCTAATTTTAGAAGAATCTTTGTAAATGACTGTTTTCTGAACTGCTAGGAGTTCTATCGAACTTTATAAAAAATAAAAATTAAAAAAATCTAACTGAATAATTTTATAAATTAATTTTATGCTAATGTGAACAAGCATAAAATTGCACAAAAACAAGAATAAAAATAATTAATATGTTGTTTTAACAGTCTGGAATTTCTCATGATAAATAATACTATATAATTAAAATTTATTTAAGAATATTTATTAATATGTAAGTTTTAAGGCAATCTGCTTTCTAAAGTAGATTGCCTTTTTCATCTGATATTCTAATATCAGATGAAAAAGATTTAATCTGAATTTTCTCGAAATTTTCATGTTGTCTGGTTGTTTTTATTATAATTTCTATTTCATCTGTAATATTGTTCTAATACCAGAAATTTCATTTCCCATGATTAAATCACTTAATTTTAATTACTCGTATGAAATTACATACAGGATGTCCTAAAAATCAGTTAACTATATTCTACCAGAAAATTTAACAAGTGTTTTAATTTTTGTATTGAACAAGAAGTTGTAAGCAATTAAGTGTTTGAATAAGATAGCAAGTTAGTAGCGAGGTTGAGGCAGAAGTTTAAAACGCGAAAACGTGTACGTCGGACGTTCAGCGCCGCTTTCCTGTAAGCCGAGAAGTTTGACAATGGTGTTTGGATAGTTAGTGGAATCATGCTCGACATTCCAAATACCATTGTCAAACTTCTAAGCTTACAGGAAAGCGGCGCTGAACGTCCGACGTACACGTTTTCGCGTTAAAACTTCGGCCTCAAACCTCTCTAGTCTTTACTGTGAGTGGACTTTTGGGCCACCCAGTATATTATAATTAATCTTTTCAAAATAATATTTTTGAATTTGAAATATTTTCATAAAAATTTAAAATTATATTTTTATCTTTTAAAAAATAAGTTTTTTGTTGATTTTATCGGTCTGTTTGCCATCCGCAAAACATCTGTCTGTCCACGAAATTTCGAGGAAATTGAAAGAGCTAATGAGATTAATAGCACGGAGTTAATGTTATGCCATACTATAAATAAAAAAATTATGAAAAATTCTTCGTATTCTTTTGATTAGCGTGAGATAAATAATCATAGAATAAGTTTTTTACACATACAGTACACTATATTTATACCTGTATTTAATTATTTACGTGGAAAAGTACTATTACAAATTTTTAAAAATCCCCCTTATTCATTGCCACGCAATATAATTCTTCGATATTTTTATATTTGTATAACAAATATCGATCTTGAGCAATTACGGAATTTTTTACTTCACATTTATCATTAGATTTTTATGTATTTTCAGGGCAGGCTAAAGGTTTTGTGAGCCTTGAGAAAAAGTTATTGGTGAGGCCCCAAAATATTTGCAAAAAAGGAATTCTTTTTAATCGAATTTTCTTATAAATGTGAAAAGGCGAGGTTTCAGTCTGGGGCCCAAAAAACCGACGTCAGGCCGGCCCTATGTAGTTTTCTTTACAACAAAAACAATTTAATTTAAACATTAAATAATTATACATTATTTAAAATTGAATCGTGTAAATTTAATTACGTTTTTCTCATATTTTCATCACCTTTACGTACAATTTTGTCAGATTTCTACAACTGGATTAAAGGACACATAAAAATGATTAATGTCATCATTCTCTAAGTTTAACTTCACTCCGTCTTTGTCACTCCGAAAATAAAATTAAATGATTTTTTCGTTAATAATTTAACATTCTGTTTATATATATATTTTTTTCTTTTAGATTTTGATTTTAAAAATTACAGTTTTCATATTAACTATAAACATTTGCAAATTTTACTTCAATTTAGAATATAAAATATTTAATGGCAAATCATAGCTTTCTGTTAGGAAGGATGTAGATTGATATACAGTGCCGTAACTAGCCATTCCTGTGCCCTGTGCAAGAATTTGGATTTAGGCCTCTTAATTGTGCATCCAACTATAATACATGCATTTTTGGCCTCCCTTTTCAAGTGAGCCCTGTGTGGATGCACCTGTTGTACCTGCCTAGTTACGGTACTGTTGATATATAACTTTTAATAAAGGGCAAGGATAGTTAGGCTAAAATAAAGAGCATATGGCAACTCTATACAGGTAATTCAAATTTGTAATATATCTAAACAAATAAAAATAACAGCGAATGAACAGCTCCTCTAATTAATTTTATATTTCTGAAATTAAAAAACATTGTTTATTTATTTAAAACTGAAAATTTTAAAATAAAACAGTGTTTATGGAAGTTGATATTTACAACTAATTTCGGTAGTTTCTTCTCGGAATTTTTTTTAAAGGTGCGAGCTTAGTCATATTATTTTACCACTCCTTCTAGAGAATTTAGTGTCTATTGTCACGATAATACTTGGAATTTATCACTTAAAACAAGTTGCAAATTGTTCCAATTTCACCGTTAGATGCAACGAATCATTAGAAGCTGTGCAATTATCGATTTACCGGAATTTCAGAATATTGCAACATCTTTTTAACAATAAAACTAACCTTGATTTTAGTTATCTATCAATCATTCTTTTATGTGAAGTTCTCTTCATATTTGTCATTACTGTACTTTCAACACTTGCTTTAGCTTTACCCATCGTGTTAACTGCAATTAAATGGCCCGGAAATGAAGTCACTTTAGCTTTTTTAGTATCGATGGAGGGGAATGGACTTTAATGACAATTACAGTTTGTTATGTTATTAGAATATTGCGTTTAAAATAATTTATTCGATTATTAAAGATACGTATGTCGTAATAAAGATATATTTTTTTTCCTGAGAACTTATGAAAATCAACAATTAAATCTAAACAATCCAGCAATGAATTGCTTAACTTTCCCCGCAAAATTTTAAAATTGTAGTGCTGTCATTTGTTATAATATTTTATTTTAAAAATTCTTTATATTATTATTATGAAATGGCGAAAACCCTAATTTTGAGGATAGAGACGAATTTTATTAAAAAAAAAAGTTGTAAATGCTAATAATAAATAGAATCTTTGTTAAGTCTCGATATACGATACATGACCGTCTCTTATCTTCCCACCTTCTCGATCTTTAACCACCAAAATTTAATAGCATTAATCCTCCTAATAAACAAACCTACTTGCAAAATTTCAGAGTTTTTTTTTTTTTTTGCATTTCTCGACTTTGTAAGGTCTCCTGAGTCCAAATATTCAATATGTAGAAATCTGGGAAGAGTCATTTTTGACTAAATGCCGTACTTTCTCTCTATTAGGCTATATATAACACCCGGGAAAGTATAAAATGTAATTTTTGAAACTAGACTTCTTAGATTTTATTTATTCGAAAGCCTTTGTATACGCATCTGTAATTAATTATAAATTTGATTGACTGTTTTGCTATGAGTAATTATTACTAATATTTATTAGATAAGTTATGAATATAGTGACGTAAAATCTTGAAGAACTATCCACTTTGTTTCCTTATTTTCATCTACGTCATTTTCGTTTACTTCATTTACTTTATCTCAACGTCATTCTCCTCATTTCCGCAAAATCTTGGCTTGTATATGCTCTACATCAGTGTTTTTCAACGTTTTTGTAATAGCGGTACCTCAATTTGATAACTTTTTCTTGTTTCACCATTACTTCTTTTATGAGAGTTTTTCATTATGTATCAATACAATTATATTTAATCTGACATATATTAAGATTGGAAAATTTTTAATATGTAATTATTAATACAAAATAACAGAATTTAGATGAATTTGTATAGATAAATCTTACCGTATACAGTATATACTATAATTATATGAATCCTTTCAGCGTTATTTATAAGTTATAATTAAATATCCAAATTTATTTTGTTTAAATCTAATATACTACACTTTTTAGGACATTTCTTATTGTATCTTTTAATACTTCGTAATACTCAATAATACCAAAAGTATGTTAAGTTGCATTAAGATTTCAGAAAATCAAAACATAAATTCTTTAGATTTCATTACAAAACGTGTGAAAATTTCATTGATTTCTGAAATTTTCGCCTCAAATTCCAACAAAATATCTTGATAGACGATAGATAGCCTCAAAAAATAATTGAATTTTCAACACTTAGTAAATAAGCTGCCATTAAATTATCACACAGACTAACAAATATATTTCATTTCTATAAAAAAAGGAACGTTGAAATTATATCATATTTCGTTGAGTTTTTCGTTATAAACACCTTCTAAATCGCTTTTTTTTTTTTTAGGTAATTCAAAGAAATTTTCTAGAATGTACAAGATCAATATATTCCAAAATTGCATAAATTTATTTGTATTAATCGAAATACTTTTTCGAATAGTCATTCATTGATGATTCAATTTCGTTTTTTCACTTTGATAAGGATTTTTTTCAGGAAATAGGATTCAGAAGAGCTTCCCTTTGGGCGTGCCTAACCTATTAACTTTTATTGCCCATTAATTTATAAAATATTTTTCAACGTGATTTTTTTAAAACATTTGTTTTTCAAATTGTATATTAATATAACTATTAATATAATTAATATACTGGGATATTAATTATAATGTAGACGCAATTGCATATTACTTGAAGAAAACTTGAATTGTTAATATGATATAAAATGTTCTTCGATTAAATCCTGGGTTGAAATGCGTGAGAAATATGTTAAAGTAATGAACTGTATATGTTAATGTATAGGACAGTGTAGATAAGGAGTATTATTGAGCGTGGAGAAGTTGCGATCGAATTCATTAGTCGAGAGCTTATCATCCGAAGGGTAATTTAAGAAAAAACTGATTCAAACTCATCATCTCTTTCCAAAAGAGACGGTGAATTTAAACTAGAAAATGGGAGTCAAGATCTTGATTCCTGAAACGACTTCGAAACAGACACGAATGACAACATAATAAACGAACTGGAAGACGCTGAATCGGTTAACTACGAGAACAGTAATTATTTCAAATGTTGTAGCTGTAACCCATAAATACAATCAATAAATGGTTTTGATAATTCGGAAAATATACGAGTAGTTAAGATGCATTATCATTGGACTTAGATGTGTCTTCAAAATTTTGGCCTCTTGTCTTAATTAGAAGTGAATGAAATTTGAGTTGTAAGATTTCAGGACACGATACAAAGCAAGTTAAATAAAAGCATGTAATAAAAGTATTACAGTAATACCTTCGATCAATTGGTCCTACGATCGAGGTCATATTAGTATTAAATTCCTGACTCTTTATTAAATTCCTGAACTTAAAGACTTTTAACTTAAAATTTGCCAACGTTTAATATCAGTGGTATAGTCAAGAATTAAGTCTGATAGGGGCTATAAAAACTTATTACGTTAACAAAATATAAGAACATAGAATGTTTTTAAAACGAGAACTATATTAAAACAATAATAAGTTTATACGAGTATTATATTTAAATTAATATTGATTAAAAAAAAATAAAGTTTTAAGTTTTTTTATTAAATTATTCTTTTGGAAACTACAGTACCTCCTCATCCACGTCAGTGATTAATAATGTACGGTATATAATGTGTAGAGTTTGCTGTATGGAAAAATTTATAAGCTTATTACGGTTTCTATTGTGTAAATTTTTCTCAGTGTTTCCCAACAAATCTGAAATAATAATATTATTGTTTTATTAAAAACTTTGTGAATTCTTTCGTTGGTACATAACATCAAATATTTATACTATTAGATTTAGTGTTTATAAAAAAATGACTTTTATGTTTATACATTCATTTATTTACATCACAATAACAAATTTATTTGAGCATTTTATTTTGTGAAACATCTGGCAATCAGAATATGCTTCACAGAAGTACCGCTGATTGAATCAGGTTTAATAAATAAATAAATAAATAATTCGAAGAATAATTTAAGGGTTAGTTATTTGTTTAATTTAGTGAAGAAACTAGGTGTTAAAATCTAATGATTATAATAATAACAATTTTAACACCTATTTTCCTTCACTAAAATAAACAGATAATTAAACTTTAGTTTATTCTTCGAATTTTATCTGAATCTAAATTTTTATATACAGTAAAAACTGTCCAAAATGGAACCTAAATAAAACGGAAAAAATTCTTCGGAACAGAGGGATTTTCTCTGTTAAAAAGACCTGTTCAAAACGGAAACCTTCAAAGCCGGATAATGTACTCGGTATTGCGATTCCGGCTTACACCAGTTTTACTGTAAAATAAAAATATATTATTAATATTATTTTCTAAATATTATTAAAAGTTATTATATTTAACACTAAATTAGTATATTAAAAATTTTAATGTTCATTTTCATTTCATACATTTTTAATAAGTTAGATATAAATGTGTAATATTTTTATCTTATTCTCATTTGTATTTCATGTGATTTATATCATGTTTATTATTTGTTCATTCAATTATTAATTCTCATTAAAATTATTAAAAATAAATTTAAATATTATTGTTATTATATTTGCTTTTATATAGAAATGTCTTTCACGGATTATGAAGTAAAATTCTAATTGCTTGTGGCTAAAACCGCGCTGTGTCTTCATACCACATGTGATTTCTTAGCGATTCTTCAGAGGTAACAATATTTTATCAAAGAATAAGCCATAATAGTTATCAAATCGTTCTCAATAAGCTTGACAATGCACAAAAGAATTTCAATAAAAGTACTAAAAAGTTAAATCAGGCGAGTATTAAACAATTCTTCATAAAATACGTATTTATTATGCATACTTAAACAATGACTTCAGACAAATCTTTGATAACGGAAATTAAGTCAAATAGCACTTAATATGAGTAATGCACATATTCAATTACTTTCCTAGTTTTCCTTCTTAAATTTATTATTTATATTCATTACTCATAACCAGTGACAATTCACTAGATTTCCGGTACAAAGACAGTTCACTTCCTTCTTTTATATGCAAAATACTTTTATATACACGATAAAACGTTTTTACAGCTATTAATTATTTAATCCAAAAATATTTCTAAAATTGAAGGGGAAAATAGGATACTTTGAATACTCATAGACAACCTCTAACTTTTACTGGGATATAAAATCATGTAAATAATTATTTAATAATGGTTGTACTATTTAAATATAATTTATAGATATATCAAAAGTATCTTCTAAAGATGTAAATTTTACATTAGAAAAAAATGACATATCAAGGATATAGTTTATTATTTTCTTTCGAAATAATTAAATATATCCTTGATACGTCCTACCTTTGAAAGAAAGTTGTTACATTTTTCTTTCTATGTAATTGTAAGTAGTAATTGTTGTTTACGACAATTACTACGTAATTACTTCAAAATAATTGCTAAATTTCCATTTTGTGATTACTTAACATTTAATATTTTATTGGCTAACCATCAATCATTCACATAGACCTACAAGTCGAAAAAGATGGAGAGCGAAGAAATTTTCCTCAAGTCCGGAGAAAACTTAGCGGCCCGTAGTGTTTTTAACCCCTAAAAATTAGTGTTGTTTTTACTAACAAACAAGTGTTGTTTAAGACCGCCTTTAATTAATAAAGAAACATTTTATGCATTTCGTTTGTTTTAAAAAGAAAGGTCCGCTAAGGCGAAGAGGGAGCCCATTATACTCCCGGACCCCCTCTACGCAGCTCTATCCACTACCATATAAATTTTAGCATATTTCAATTCTAAATTTATTTATATCCATTCTATTAAATGAAAATAAATAAATTTATAATTGAAATGTATTCACTTGTCAGTCATGTTTGTCACTTCCAGTAACTTGAGCCCTCTCTCCTAAACAATAAAATCAATAAAATCTGCTGAGGAATTTGAAGCACGCTAATCACATCTCTAAAGGAGAGATTGAGAGTAATAATTCTTAATATAAGCTAAATTAGACAAATAAAATCGAACTAATTACTACCTGGATTAATGAGACGCTAATTTTGGAAGTGTTATTGAATGTTATTGCAGATTATAAATTATGAATATGAGTAATTAATTTTAATCCTGTACAGGCTATTATATAATTGCCGACTTAGTTATTTATTTAATTAATAAACTTATTTTAATAAATATTAAATTAAATATATAATTTTAACATAAATTTCCGCATAATTATTATTAATAAGCTGCGAAAGGTAAGTTTAGCTAGAACAGTACAAAGTTCTGTCAATTCATGGCTGACCATGACGTTGTAGTATTGTTTTTATGAAGTCGAAAGTGCAAAATTTTATTATAATTTATGACTGTGAAAAATAACTGTTTCAAAAGTCTGATTATCAGGCTATAAATACATGAAATATTTTAGAGAATAACAAAAAGAAAAGTAAAATATATTAAAAGTACGAGTAGTTGGATAGAATAGAAACCAAATGAAACAATTCTAGAGAAATTGGAGAATAATTTTCAGTAATAAAAAAACGAATATTAGAGTAGTGGGGATACATTACGCGATTACAACAGCTTGCTGTAGGACATATTGAGGGAAAGAACCTCAAAGAAAAGTTTAGGATTTCCTTTCTTAGACAAATATGCAAATGTGTAGGAACAGTAAAATATATCACGATGAAACTCTGCCAGAACAGAATGGAAATGTCTCACCTAACGGAAAACCAATCCAAAGATAGAAAGATTATTAATGTATTGTAAGAAAAGAAATAAGATTAGACGTATAAAATATGTACTGTATAGTTACGAATTTAAGACACATTTTACGTGTTTTTAGACTTAAAATTAGAATAAGACTAAATTTAAGGTATTCTTTTTCACTCTTCAAAAGCTTGTATATAAGCCTAATGAAAAATTATATAGACTACGTTTATTTTAAATACGTTATTGACGTTCAATAAATTTTAAAAATATATTTATTTCTAATTATTAGCAAATTTTTTCCGAAAATTTATTTTTAAGAGTAGAATGCGTTTTAAATTCGACATTTTAAATACGATACGATTCGACGTTTTAAATACGATAGATTTCTGTTTGGCATAAGACAGCAAAATGTTCTCTTTTTTTTTAGTTCGTTAATATTCTAGAGAAAAGATGATACCGCACGTTTAGTAAAAATAAATTAATACTACAAATATTTAATTATTTATATAAATATTTAAAAACCCTATTTACTAATTTATACCAGAGGTTCGATCTTCTTTAATATAGCTTAGAGTTTTTCGTAAGATCCAGGCACAAAGAGGAGCAAAAGCTTTCTAGTATTTGACTAGATTCGTACGTATATCGATACGTAGTCAATCCAAACCTCCTTTGAAAAGACTAATAAAACTTTATAGCATTATCCAAAATTATAAATCCTATAATAAAAAGTTTCAAAATAGAATAATACAATTTGCTAAGCTCTAATCGAATATAGAATCTATAGAGTTGCATTCTACATTCCTCAAAATTAAAATTTTAGATATTATGAAATTTCTTTTTAAGTAAAGAATAAAATTCTATTTTTATTCATTTTTACGTCATAGGAATCACAATAACAAGCGTACGCTGGTCTTTCATTATAAATTGCATAACTGTCCAAAATAATAAATATTATACTCTTCAAAACACTTTTAAAAAAATAGAGACAAAAGGCGTCACATTATGTTAATTGTAACTTTTAGTTTGAATCGAAGCGTCAATCCTATAATTCAATGTACTTGTATGCTTATCAATATTATTGGAGATTAGTTTCATCCCTAATGGACTAAGGCCCATTATGAATGAGTCTAGTCTACAATGAACGGTATTAATCATTGAAATATGACGTCTCCCACCACAGCGAATTCAACTTAATTCTCACTTAATTTAATCTTTCTAGCATCGGAAAACATTCANTGGACGGAATTTAACAGGTGCAAGTTAAACCTATTCCTGTCTTATGCGGAGAAATTTGACACAGAATAAGAAAATCCGTCTTTATGGCAAAGGCATGGCATGTGCTTTCTTCATCGAATTTAGAATATTCCTATCCGAAATAAATTAAATAATTTCATTATGATAGTATTAAACAATTAGTGTCCATAGAAGGAAATGACATTTTCGTGTCGTTTGAGATTTGTATTTGCATTGAGTATTTCGTGTATTTGAAGCCATGTTGCCAGAATTTGAAAATTTCTGTTCTGGATAAATATGAATATCTTCAGTACTATAATGCAAGTATCTAGTGCCTCTCAATATTGCTGTTTTGAGGATTAACAGGTTTAATTAATTGGAAACAATATACTGCATAAATCATTTTTATTGAAAATTTCTATAATTGCATTACAGTCGATCCCCCTATAAGACGGTAGATACGTTCCGTTCTTTATGAATCAATTTTGTAGGAATCACAGTCAATCACAGCCTGACACGTGTGAAGTTTACGGACTACGGCTGTTTGAAAGGTTTTCTTCCATAAAATTAATCGATTCTAGACTAATTCGACTCAACATTTCCAAAATACGTATATTTTTTTTGAAAATAATCTGTATAAACTACGCTAAAAACAAAAAATTGTAGGATTACTTACCGAGTGTGCACCGTTCGACGTCTCCGTTGCTCAACCTTGTTTTCGTCGCGGAACAGCGCAGCAAACCGCGGCCGCGATTTCTGATGTTATTTTTCTGCGAAAACTTCGTTGAACTTTGGAGACATCATTAATATAAATAATTTTTATGGCCGTTGAATAAGAAATGTTTCTTTCACAAGAAA